TGTGTGTGTGTGTGTGTGTGTGTGTGTGTGTTTTCTTAATAGCAAAATCAACTCTACTGATGTTCTCATTATTACCTCATATAGGTTCAAGTGGAAGGTCTAACAGGAAATATAAAATTTGACCAGAATGGAAAGAGAATTAATTATACTATAAACATCATGGAGCTCAAAAGTACAGGTCCCCGTAAGGTAATTTTAATTCTAACTGCCTTTAACAATATTCCTCTCTTGAGCAATGCAAAAAGGTAGGTGGTCAAAAGCTCTAGTTAACTAAAAGGCATGTTGCAATAATGTTTATTTGTATGGTTATATTGTACTAATCTTGCAGAGCAAAGAGAAAATGTGCCCTATATGTTTCTAATAAATATGACATTTTATTTCTGGTAAGTACTGTGTCAATCTATATATGCAACTTTATATATTTAATTTATGGGTTTTTGTTGTGGGTTTTTTTTGTTTTTTGGGGTTTTTTGCTCTTTAATTAGAACAGCTAAATGGAAGCAAATAAGCAGAGAACATCTAACAACAAATCTGTGAACTTATAATGCAGAACACAGTTTTTTCAGAGAATAATGTATTTGTTTACAGTTCTCTAAATGTGATTTGTTTTTCTCTTTTTCCAAGCCATACAGAGAAAAAGCCAGTTGCTATAACTGTGTACATCTCGTCCTGATTTGGAGTCTTTCCTATCCTTTGCATTAGCGTAGAATGTCATTTATATCGAGATCTGATTAAATATAGCTAAAATCAACTGTTACAGTAGGATAATTAATAGCAAAATATTTGGTCCTGTATAATAAGGTTCCAGTGTGTTCCTGTTTGTGTTAACTGTATAGTGTTTGCATGTTTGTAGCTACTGTAAGTGTGTGTGAGCATATTTGGAATGGATAGGATAAATTATACCGAAACAACAATTTGCTGTATGTATCATATGGAAGTTCATTGGCATCCATACATACTACAAACTTTTTTCAGATTGGATACTGGAGTGAAGTGGACAAAATGGTTGTGAATCCCATTGATGGTCCTCTTGGAAATGAATCTTCGGGACTAGAGAACAAGACTATTATTGTCACCACTATCTTGGTAATTAAACATATTTTTGTCAAATAGCATTCTATGTTAAGGTGAATTGTTGTTTCACATGTTAACTGTTCTTCCTTTTTATCCCTACAATGCTGAAAGTTATGAAAAAAAAACCTCTTTATGGAATATAAAGAAGATTCCTGGTACCATTAAATTCTGCTGTTATAAAAAGGATGATGTATATATTTGTATTGAAAAATCAAATATGTTTAATGGTAAATAGCAGGGGTTCAAACATCCTGTGCTAACACAAGTGACCAATTACATGATTTCAAAGAACTCTTTGTCTGACTGGCTGAATGGATTTTCTTTCTTAAACTCCAGTCTCTATGCCCATAGGCAGACAGACTTTGCTAAACTAGAAAAAAGACTGCTTCTAGGCTTTAGAGCTCTATGAACTTCTCTGCCCAAGTGATGGAATGAACATGCATTTTCATATTCTATGTCAATTTAATAGAGCAACATTGTGTTCTGTTATATAACAGCAATGTTAGCTTGTTTACACAGCTTCTTTATCATTATACATTGATCCCAGGCCTAAAGAGAACTGTTCTGGCTCCAATATATGTAAGGGAAGAAAGGACAAATTCTTGTATTGTGAACTTATGATTTGTCACTCGTTTTTTGGACGTTAAGAATTTCACTTAGGAGCCGTAGACCACTGTCTGGACTTTTTTGATTTCTTCTGCATAGTCATTCAATATATTTCGTGCCTAAAAAAATTGCAACAGATTTGGGGGTTGTAGGAGGGAAGAACCTTTTTAAATATTACAACATTAACAACAAAAGAATTAAGAGAAGCAAGCAATGTATTCTTGCCTCTTTATAATATGTTAATTATAACTAACATTCATGGCAATTGCTACTACATTTCCAGGAGGGATTGCACCTGCAAGTATTGATATTTGCATATAAATCTGAAACATTGCTGCATAGAACATGTTTAATAACATGTGACAAATATAATAAGTTAAACCATTTATGAATGAAACATGTCAGATTTTTTTCCTTTTTTTCCTGTAGAACGCAAACACATTTTTCTAAGAAGTGCATAGCCTACATTAACTCTGTCTTTAATGAGTAGCTAAAGCAAAATATTTCTGTGCAGGAATCCCCATATGTCATGATGAAGAAAAATCATGAGATGCTTGAAGGAAATGAACGGTATGAAGGCTACTGTGTGGACTTAGCTTCAGAAATTGCTAAGCATTGTGGCTTCAAGTACAAGCTCACAATAGTTGGAGATGGCAAGTATGGGGCAAGGGACGCAGACACGAAAATCTGGAATGGGATGGTTGGCGAGCTTGTTTATGGGGTAAGACCACCTTTTTAATACTGCCAATAACTGTGACTGATGGAAGTTGTGGGATTATTTTTATTCTCCTGAGCATGGGGAAAACTGGCTTGATTCATATTTTCTTTGACAGGAAGAATGTTCAAGGTTAAAGAATGGAGTTAGATTAAAAAAATGTAAATGAGGGAAAGAGTCTATATTTCAGCTTTTTTTCCTACAGATGAAAGGAACGTGCTTTGCTAACATATTTGAATATTGTAAACTTTGAAAAATCATGTCTAAAAGGGAAAGGCTGAGAACAGTCCAACCAGATGGTTGTATAAATTTCACTGAGAGGAATTTCAGCTGTAAGTTACTAAACAGTTTACTCCTCAATAGGGTACTTTCAGTGAAATGACTATTATCTGTGTCCCTGTTGTCCTGTTTTTCATTTGTGAAACACAATAGGAACAAAGCCATTTCTTGCTAACTATCACATCAGTTATTATTACCTTGTTCTGTTTCCTTTACAGAAAGCCGATATTGCAATTGCTCCATTAACTATAACACTGGTGAGAGAAGAGGTGATTGACTTCTCAAAGCCCTTTATGAGCCTCGGGATATCAATAATGATCAAGAAGCCTCAGAAGTCCAAGCCCGGAGTGTTTTCATTTCTTGATCCCTTAGCATATGAGATATGGATGTGCATTGTTTTTGCCTACATTGGGGTCAGTGTAGTTTTATTCCTGGTCAGCAGATTTAGCCCATACGAGTGGCACACTGAGGAGTTTGAAGATGGAAGAGAAACACAAAGTAATGAATCAACTAATGAATTTGGGATATTTAATAGTCTCTGGTTTTCCCTTGGTGCCTTTATGCAGCAAGGATGCGATATTTCGCCAAGGTTGGTTACTCGCCCATTTCAACTTTGTGCATTTTTGGTCTCAGATGGAGGTTCATGGTGCATATATATTCACTCTCAAGAAGACACTAGTTCCTTTTTTCTCCAAAGAGTGCAAATGTACATGGAATAGAAACCAAATGTCTGCTGATGCTGGGCAGCTAACTATTAGATCTATATTACCACAACTCAGTGAACTTATATGCACCATGTAGAGACCGCAAAATGCATAAGGTTCCTATCATTTCATGCCTTCTTGGAGGGGTACCGTGTTTTTGCTGCATATTCCCATTTTACAGTTAACAGTGCCTATGGTTCACAGCAACTGTAATGGGAAAAAGGGTAACACTGTTTATGAGCTACAGAAGCAGCACATTCCCTCCAATATCTACTTTACATACCATTTCACCTAGTATTTAACCTACTGTTTTCCTAGAGGGAGTGTACTGAAAATGAATTAAGTCATCTGAAGCCTCTAATTCCATGTGAAATAGTTACAAAACTGCACTGTTTTTATATGGCCCAGTTTTATAGGAATCATGGAAAAAAGCCTGCTAAGTTACTTTGAAGGTCCCTTTCATTAGAAATACACTCACTGGTTCTCAAGGGATTTTATTTGGGACAAATGTAAAGCACTTTACTTCCCCCTAGTTTTATTCCTTTGCAGTTCATTAAGTGATCTATTTCCCTTGTGTGCAAGTGGCTGTGGTCTTGATTCAGCAAAGTAATTTGGTATATGGATAAGTGCCTTGCTGAATCAGGGGTCTATGGGAACAACTGAAATAGGGCAATTGCGTTTGTGGGAATTAAATCAGAGGAACTTCCAGAGTGAGTTCGCTTTCTTTTACCTGAATGTGGGACAGCGAATGGATCAGTATCCAGTAGTCATTATTGTTATGCAGTAAGGCAGGGCTGTTCAACTTCGAAGTTGTTAGGAGCTGTGCGGGTTATACCAGCATGAACCATGGGACTCACAGGACACATACCACTTAGGCAGCTCTGCCTGCACCATGTATGGAGCCTCACTCTCTGCTTTTCAGCTGTGGGCTGCCCCACTGCCCTGAGCTGCCTGGCTGCCCACAGTATAAGAAGGAAGGGGAAGCCTTGAGACCATAACTACTACTGAAGCTTGAGCTATGGGGGGAGCAGTGGCTGGGTAGGAGTCAGGTGGCCAGAAATTAATCTCGTATAGGCTGTATGCAGCCCACAGGCCACTAGTAGGATAACCTTGCCATAAGGTATGAACAATTTCATCTGAACAAGAATAAATTAGAAGGTATCAGGAGAACCACAGTGATATGATAGCTCATCTGTGCTCTAGCACATTTTTTTTACTCACAAAAGATATTTAAGGTATTATTAATTATTGAATAAATACCTGCAAAATACTCAGGCCTCCTCTGGGCATTATGTAAGTGACATGTCCCATGGGCAGTTCTTGCTGTCTAATGGAGAAAGGTGACTTTATAAGCTACTATTCTATGGAAGTAAGGCATTTTCTTATTCTGGGGAAGTGTATAACATTCAAAGGCAGGTACATTGGCTTTCTTAAGAGTAGTCATAGACATTTTCCAGAGAAGTAATAATATATGAAACATGAGGCAGAGGGGAAAGACCAAATTATCCTAAATCATAAAGTGCCTGCTTTAGTTTTGATCGGTTTCTGCTCCTAAACATAGATTTTTAATTTTTGATTGTGTGCAAATATACCAATTGGCCACAAGGCTGTTTTTAATTAATTGAGCCTAAAGTAGCTTAATGTGAAATGAAGACTTACATCTATTTCACTTTTCTGGGTTTTAAAGCACAAAACCTCCTATGTATTCCTCCTTTAAAATTGAAAGACTTCTTTTAAGAATAGATTAGTATATTATCACCACCCTAAGGTACTAGGTGGTTACCCTAGTACATTATCACCACCCTAAGTTACCCTATTTATTGATTTGATTTCTATGCTGCACTCCCTAGAAAGGCTCAGGGCAGCTTAAGAGAACTTTTGAGATATACTAATACTGTGCCAAGTGTAATATTTAAAATCACCTTCTTTTTTATTCTAATCATAACCTTTATTGAACAAAATTCTAAAATATTTACTTTTTTATTTATTATCTTAACTATAATAGGGCTGAAAACACTTCCGTTATATAACTGGTGTTCTTATACTGAGCTCCTCGTTCTGGTTTCATACAATGCGCTAATTAATCTAAACTTCCCCTTTCTATCAGGGATATTTGTGCTAAAATTTAACACCATTTTTGCTACATTTTAATTCAGTCGGTAGGAACAACAGTGGGAGTGCTTATGTAGTCAAGTTGCCAACAGTTCTTGAAAATTTATGGGGCTTTATACATGGATGGCTACCTGAAGCCTGGTGTACACTAGGGCTATAAACAGACATTCTTGGGAGTGGGATCTGCTCTTCATTGGCATCTACAGATGTTGCCAGGGCCGTTGTCCCACAGGGTCAGGCTCCTGCTGCTCCCAGGACTTCAGGGGTCTGATTGTTCAAGATAACAGCTGTAGATGCTGCTCCCAGATTCAAGGCAAAGCAGTGAGTTGTGTGTCACGGGAATCCCTCATGGGGAAATTTTTGTGGTGTGCAGTGAGCAAATAGGCATCATCCCACTGAAGGCATCATGAACTGTGACTACCTTTGTGCTCAGCAATATTTTGGGGTTTTTGCAGTGTGGCAAGGGGCCAGGATGTCTGTTTGCTTGCAACTTGTGCTTCCATAAAAAATTTTATGCTGGCACAAGGGCAATGTTTGTTTGCATCCTAACACTTCCAAAATAGCAATCAGAGGCAAAACTGAAAGAGGTGTAGCAATGGTGGATAACTTAAGCAAAACAGTCCTAACAGGAGAGATGAGGCGTAGTTAGCTACAGTTTTAAAATGCATGGCCACTTTTGCACCTGCAAATCCTATCCTTGTACATGCACAATGTAAGTGTAAGTTGTGTAACTGTACATACAGATATAAGTAGGTACAGAATTATTTTTCATGCCAGTGTTCATATCTTGCATATGCAAATATGGACTCTTGCTGGAGCACTACTTGAATCTGCCTTTACAGATTTAGTTCAAAATGCATGTTAAAAAAGTAATGGTGTATTTTACCAGGGACAAAGATTATGGTAAAAGGCTTAAGAAGGTCTTAGAAAATACCATACAGATGCATAACGATTGAAATAGCATTGAGCTTGAGCCTTCTTACCAAGTCAGTGGCAGTTTTGTTTGAAAGAGAATCAAAGATGATCTATTTTGTCTAAAGATTAAGAATTGCCAGTTACATAGGAAGTTGTCAATTCAATACACATAGCATACAATCAGCACTTGCATTACTTGGAGCATAAAATGCTAGGTGTCTTGCAAATACCTAATGTTTATTGTGTAATCAAAAGTTAATTGTTACTATAAAAGTTAAGAGTTCCAGGATGATCACTGAGTTTTGAAACCTGAGAAAAAAGAATGTCAGATCTAGGAACTGTATGAAGGGATTTTGGCCTTTCTCATCTATGCTTCTTTTTAGCAATATATTTTAGACCAGAGGTGCTCAAACCCCACTGCCCAGTTCCTAAGCCCTGTACCTCTGAGTTGTGGCCTGGCCATTTCTCACCTCTATGCAGCCAGGTAGAGGACAGGCAACACCCTCTTCTCCTCCCCTCCTCCCCCTCACACATGCAGCTGGACCAGGGCTTGGCTGCCCTCTGCACATCCAGATCAGGCCCTGCTGCACCTACCCCACAGACCTGCTCGGGTCCACCAGTTGGACCCATACATATGGAGGTACCAGGAAATGTCCATCCAGCCTGCAGGTTGAAATGGTTGGGCACTATTGTTCTAGATAATATCCTACCATTGACTTTTTATAGTACACACAATAATGGAGTCCTGTCTTGGAAATAGGGGCCATGTCTACATGAGATGCTGACTGTGTAGTAGCCCAATACTACTGAGCAGTAGCATCGCATGGCAACAACCTACTGTCATAAATAAGATGTTCATTGGTGGTACTGCGCAGTAACTCAGGTTACTCAGGTTACTGCGCAGTCATCAAGTACTTACTTATACAAGTACTAAATGACTGCACTTTAATGACTGTGCAGTCAGTGTCTTATGTAGATCTGGCCAGACATTCAAAATTAGTCTTTTCATGTTTCTCTTGCTATTGGGTTATTTTTGGAGTAACAATCATAAGAATAATTGTCCAGAATTGTTTCCTTTTAGTTCTGTTCCCAGTTTTATCAACTTTACAGAAATAATTTGGGTATCTAAACTCCAAGATTTTTTTCACGTGATATAGTTTGTATGACTTAACTTGAAACCTCATTTGTGCAACTGTAGGTTGGATGATTAAGACATTTTATTTTACAAAATATGTATTTAAGATTCACTAGTCAAGTATTTCTTGGGTTGTGGGCTTCAAATATATTTAGATTTCTGCCAAATTATTAAGCACCTCTACAGAGCTTATATATTCAATATGGATAAAATACTTTAATACACGGGGAAATTTAAATGCTTCCTTAATAAGTAGGTTGAAATTTGATTTGGTGACAGCATTCACAGATATATTGTATATTTCAGTTTTGAAAGTCACTGCATTGGTGAGCTTTAAACTGTTTTTTACATTTTGAGTTTTCTTTTCTTTTTTCTTTCTTTAGCAGGAAATGCAAAACAAAGATTCATAACAACCCTCCTGCTGCAGTTAAAGTATCAGATTATTATTTAAGAACAGTACTTTTTGTCAACTTTTACAGTTTGCTCATTTCATGTCCATTCTCCAGTTGGTTAAATAATTGCAATTTCAGACTGAGTTAAGTTTATTATTTCATTTATGGAAATCCACTTGGCCAAAGCCTGTTGCAAGTAATGTTGCCTAAGCATAGAATGTCTACAACAGCTTAACCTGGTGTTTGTCAGTCTGTGTTTGAATGTTTCATAAAAAATAAGCAGTTTTCAGCCACTCAGTTTTTAAAGCACTCTTTGGGTTTATCAAAAAATACAGTTGCATTGATATCATGACTCTTGTTCATGTTTTTGTGTGTCATACCCAGGAGTTCACATGAAACAGCATGCAAAGTTTTTTATTATTTCATTAATATGACACATCATAATTTGACCAGTTTCATTTCAGCGTATTTACAATTCTGAAGAATTGAGGCAATAACTCTCTGTAAAGTACATTCAAGTCTGGAGTCCTGATTTCAGCCAAGTCCACCAGATGTAGTGGAGCTTACATGCTCATTCACGAGAACTATAAAGTATATTCATTTCCTGTTTGATTAGTATGCACAACAGCTGTACAAGATAACGTGAAGTACTTCCCTGTAGTATAATGCATCATTTGCATAAAACTGATAACTTTTGTTCCTTTTAGGACATTCATTTCATTTTACAAATCCATTTCATACTTGTTATTAGATCCCTGTCTGGGCGCATTGTTGGAGGTGTATGGTGGTTCTTTACCCTGATCATAATCTCCTCCTACACGGCTAACTTAGCTGCATTCCTGACGGTTGAAAGGATGGTGTCTCCCATTGAAAGCGCAGAGGATCTGTCTAAGCAAACAGAAATTGCTTATGGGACATTAGATTCTGGCTCTACCAAAGAGTTTTTTAGGGTAAGAATTTCTGCTTTCCTAGTTTCCTGTTTGTTTTAAATATGTATTATTGCCCATGACATTTTTTTCCTAGGCTATTTGGAAAGTTTCATTTGAAAATGTAATGAACACTTTTACCATATAACATATGTAATGAGTTTTTACTTGCTTATATGCAAGAAAAAGCCAGGAGAGTGTGTCCCATTCACTTGTGTAGCACTGCAATAATTGATATTTATCTTAAAAACAGCTGTTATTATTTGTATTGCAGTAGTGCCCCAAGGCCTATTAAGACTCCAGATTTGAAATGTTTTCCCCCCCACAAATGGATTATATAATTTTGCCAGAATCAGCCCTCCAAAACTTGGTTTCCAATAGCCTTATAATCTTTTAGTATGTCATACTAAACAAGGTAGTAATTGTTTGGCACAAGGAATGTGCATCTCAGGGATGTGTACCCTTGTAGAATAGCAATAGATTTCAAGTACCACAGTGTGAGGCTTTCAAACAGGAATTCAATCAAATTTAGATTTAGTGTTCTATTGTAAATTATGGGGGAAAATATCACTCAAGATTTATGTTTTTTTTTAAAAAAGGAAGGAACTATGCATGAAAAAGTTATTCTCTGATCATGGAGGCCACTCATGAAAGAATAGCCTTTCTAGAGAATTTGTGTGAATGCCTTATTTGTAGACTCATATCTAAAATCTTTTGTCTCAAACACATGGGTTCACAGGCGCTGACAAGCTTGCTAATGGTCTGTGATCACACATTGTTAGCACAGGCTGGTAGGCACAGAAATTGTACTGGCATCCTGATATCTGTTCACATTCCTGTTTCTAGAAATCAAGGGCTTAATTTATTATCATGCGAATGCAACTCTACTGACTTCTGTGGGGCTAGCCCATTTTTTTACAGATGCACTTTCACAATGAACCACTACTGGTTTAGGTACGTGGCAGTTATTGGTATATAGTTTAACAGAACCCACCTGAAAATTATCACTATATTTTCTGCATCATTTTGAAGGGATTTCTTCCTACCCTGACCTTGAATTTAGTTCCAAACCTATAGCAATGGGTTACTGAAAACATATGGTTAGAGAGTTTTGTTATCCTAACAATGCATTAAGATAGAGAGTGCATATAATAGGATTATAAGAAAGGAAGACTGAAAGGGACCTTACAAGGGCATCTTGTCCACCCCCTTGCTCAAGGCAGGATTATCCCTGACTAAATCATTGCAGCCTAGTGTCTGTCCAACCTGCTCTTGAAAATTGCCAAGGAAGGAGATTTCACAGTTTCTCTAGGTGCCCTGTTCCAAGGTTTGACCACCTATATCAGGCAGTTCTGCCTAATCTCCAACCTAAATTTCCTGTGCTGAAGCTGGACACCATTGCTCCTAGTCCTGCCCTCTATGGCCACATAATACATATATTATTCAAATAATACTTTATATATAAACTACAGGTTTGTTAAAACAATTTGTTCAGTGTACAGCAGTCTTAGATAATATGTGCTTGAACATCTGTGGACAGTGTTATCTACACATTTGAAATACAGCCTTCCTGCAAGCTCGTCCTCTTCCTTTTCCAGTTTACTTGACTGGCCAGTGCCTAAGTTAGTTTGATATCTTATTTGATTTAAATATGTGAATAAACTCTGCAAGAATATTTGTATTTTTTTCTGTATTGTAAGGTTACAGTGATAACTGCTGTGACACTTCCTTCATCTGATTGGGTGATCCATGTTTAATTATTAACTGATCAAAATCCAGATTGTTCCAGTTAGAGCAGTAAGAAAATACTGTTTTGTGCTTTTGGTAGTGAGTCCAGTGGAACCATTTATGTAGGGCCTTGTTCTCATTTCTTTTATCCTGATGTAAATCAGGAATTATCTCACTGAAGTCGGTAAGGTCACATAATTGTAAGTTGCTGCAAGTCAGGTCAGACTAGCTTATAGTCACTTCTTATAAGAAGCCTAATAGTATGTGTATGATATCAGTTCAGTATTTTTCCTTCTATTTGTGAATTTAAAATTGCTTCATACCATTTACATTTTCACATCAACTGCTGTCTGTATTGGAGATAACATTTTAACTAACTACACACTGAATCTTTCAGAATATTTCCCTTGTGTTCCACTTTGTATTTCTATCTTACAAACAGCAGGTTTTCCCATATTGACTGAAGTAGCATTAGTTATGTGAACACAGAAATCTGTGTATAGTTCTTTGTTCTGCCACTGTTCAGCTTGTAATATTTTGCAAATCTTTTAAAGATCCTTTCCCTTAGTCTCCAAGTCAGTAAGCTAATACAGGTGATGATACTGACCTTATGTCTCTATAAAGATTTTTGTAACCTAATATAAAAGAAAAAAAATTTTTATTAGACTTTGCAAATTTAGCAATCAAAGAAAACATCAACAAGTGTTTTCAGAACGGCAGTACCTCATTTTAATCTGCAGTACAATGCCTGCTTACAGAAGTTAACCCCACCCCCTTGCTGCCAAAAAAGGAGGTGCTTTACTAGAAGAAGCAGTGCATTAGTTCAACCCAGCTCCTGCTTCAGCAGGGCTTTTTGCCACTTTTATCTAATAGCTGATTCAATCTAATAGCTGATTCAAAAAAGCCCCACTAAAGCACCCAGTCTATACAGACATTGGGTGAGTTGGGTCCAGCTAATGCTATGCCTCTTCTGAATGTGTGGTGGGCTCAGAGCAGAAGCGTGTCAAGTTTAAAGTAAAGCACAAGAGGTTTTTTTTAACACCTGTAAGCAGCCTGCATGCGTAATGTTGCAAAGAGCATAACAAAAAGTATTCTCTCCCCTACAGGCTCACAGTCTAAATCAGTAGCTCTCAAACTTTCTAGACTCAAGGCACCCCTATATAATTTCTGTGAAGTAGTGGCACTCCATTAAAAAAACTAATTTATTTATTATGGTGCTTATCTGCTTGAAGAGGGGTTGGGAAGGAGGAGGAACAGCTGGCAGGGAAGACCCTTCACAGCAGTGAGTTGTGGGGAGGAGGAGTGCATGGAAGGGAAGTGCCTGCTGTTACCTCCTCAAGCTTATCTTGCTTATTTCCTCTCTCCCTGTGGCACCTTTCAAAGGCTGTCATGGCACCCAAAACTGCCACAGCACTCTGGTTGAGAATCACTGGTCTAAATAGACAGGCAGTAAAAGTTTAGGACTCTGTGTAGGTACACAAGATGATCATCAAGCTGGAATACAGGGAAATAGTGCAGGATATTTAATTTTGTGAATAATAACTACAACTACAGGTAGTATAAAATGGAAAACAGAGCCAGGGGAAAATTCAAAGCTGTTTTTATACTTGGGGTGCAAATTTCCATTTTTGGTTAAAGTTTTTAGACAGTTTTGATGATACCTTCAATAAAATAAATTATTGATATAATTCTTAAAATCTGTATTAAGCATAATTTGTTTCATTTGAAGATAATTCCTGAAAGATTGTATCACATTGTTTATTAAAAATGACAAAAACAGTCTTGATCATTTTTCATGAAAATGAAATATTTTATAGATATTAACATCTCTTCTTAAAACTTCCATTTTCAAAGAAGACCACTAAAGTGTGACATCTTTTACTGTTAAACATTTCAACCACATTTATTTCCAACCTTTCTTTTTCCATAAAAGGAATAGTTAATGCTCAAGATTTTTATTGATAATTGTAATTGATTTATATACTATGTTAACATATTGATCATACATGTGAGGAAGTAATATGATTGCCTGTCTCCTTTTGAATCTCAAACCCTGTAACTCTTTGGCAATGAGTAGATTATGCAGCAGTGAAATTGCAAAGTGCCTTAGGTCAGAACCATGAGTAATCCCACAGAAATTAGAAGGGAATCTTTGTTAGTTAATGCTAAATCTGAAAGTAGGAGTATACAGTATGTTTGTTGGGTCCAATGCTAATCGTTTTCATTTAAGATTTCCCCGTCAACATTTGTCAAGGTAGTTGAAACCTGATTGTCAGTATCTATTATCTACCTTTTCACACCTCTTACACTTTTATACCATCAATATTTCTAGTAATTAACAGAAAAGTTATTAAAACCAGCTTTTCCTGTACTTAATGGTGATTTGTAGGGAGTGCACAGGGCTGCAGTGCATCTCCTGAGAGCACTGGTGCATCCCCTGACAGGCCGTGCTCCCTGCTTAAGTGATGGGAGCAGGGGGGACATGTGGTAGCACCAGTGCCCCCCCCCACGAGCACCGGCCAGGGAGTGGGAGTGCTGGCTGAAGCGCTGCGGCCACTTCTGGAAGCCCCGCAGCTGCTTCCTGGTTGGTGCAATTGGTTGCGGGGGATCCCCCGTTTTGGTGGGATTGGTCAGAGG